ACATACTCTGGCTGGAGCAAGTGGGGCAGTAATGACTCCATAGTGACAGTGGTGGGCAGGGAAGAAGGGAATGGAAATGGGGAGGGGAAGTGCAGATGAACATAGAGAGGAAGGGAGGGGGTTCTAACAGTGCGACGAAGGGTGGATTCTTACATGCTTTGGGGTCTTAACATTCCCAGCTGCTGCTCCTGAGGTATGGTCCAAAACTGGGGTGCAACTGTGCTACCACACTTGCACTGGATCCTGGATGCCACCTCTGGGTGCCTGTACACACCACTGGGTTTAATCCTCATTAAATTAAATAGGTTTATAAAATTTAAATTTGTTTATTTTGGAGTGTCACATCAGTGTCTGCACACACTAGGTTTTTGAATGAAATAAGCTTTGGAGCATCACACAAGTGTTTGCACGCACTTGGTTTTCAAACTAATTAAGCTCAGTCCCCAGCCAGCACTGCAGAAGAGTGGGACAGTCCAGCACTGCCTCCCCCACGCCTACAGTCCCCCACCTCATGCCCTGCCACACACCTGTGGGAGCACAGAGCTGGCAAACAGCACAAGGAAAAAGAAGTGGAAGCAATTTGAGAGCAGAAGCAATTCCAATGGGTGAACTACAAAAAAGTCACAGAGCCATCTGGTGGACAAAGAGGCGCATTTGAGTCTTTGAGTACCTTTGTGTTTGCATGCAATGAATCCATGGAAGTGGCTCTTTAATTCATGGCTAGCCAAATTAAACTACATCTGAGGAGTTCTACTTTAATGCTCCAGAAAGACTTTTAAAGCATCTGGAAAACCTGTTTGTGCAAACAGTCATGCCATCGCAGCACAAGAAAGGACAAAAAACATGGCATGTACAAAGGCTCTCTGAGAGCATTTTTGTAATATAAACCATATTCTACTAAAGACAACTCAGACAGACATTCCTAGCCAATTTCACATAACCAGCTGAGAGCAGCTCAGTGACCTATGACTGTTAACCATCTCTGAGAGGGACTATATTTCAAACTGACTTTTATATTAGATTTTTTGTTCTATTTCAAGTCCCCCAAGTGAACCAGTCCCTCTATATTCAAAAGACAAAAGCAAACTAACTCTGACACCCAGCTGTGTAGCCATTTGTAAAGCATCCAAGTCACAAGTTGGTACATTGCTAGCACTTAAGAAGCAGATTTTTTCACTGTCTCAGTGACCTCAATCAGCATTACGGGGGCAATTTTCATGGAAGAATGAACAAATTCTCTGGTGTGCAACACTTGAACAAGCTCTCTTTCATAATCAGTGATGCATTTTGCCTTTTTTTCAGCTCCTCCTTCTGAAACAAATATTTATTTTAGATGGTCTGTAGAAAGTCTCTCTATTTAGGTCTCATAATGTTCTCACATAGTGTGTTGATAAAGTATGATAGCATGCCTCTGTCTTTAGAGGCTTCCCTAGAAGATTCCTATAAAATGAAGCTGCTGGTAATTTTAAATGATCTTCTGTAGTTCTTTCTTTTAAGTCTCAGGTACATAGTCATTGTGTTGGCCTGCACAAGGACCAGTGTTATAATCTCCATCCAAATTATTCCTATATGAGACAGAATCTTTTTATACATGCTGCTTGAAACAAATCTGACAATAACAGTTATATATAGACACTATAGAATCTTGTAGCAGTTCCCATGACTTCTTGAATAAGACACATCATTATGATTATTAGAATGTGTCTATACATCAATGTGCTTTAGTACTTCCTAAAGCACAGTGTAGTACAGGCTGTTACTGTGCCATGCACGTGGTGCCTGGTTAGATTTCACCGCTACTTCACTGTAGTAGTGTGATATATCGGGGGAGTGTTCCACTACAGTGACACAGCTGGTGATCATGTGTAGGCCTGCGTGATTGCTGCGTTGCCATAGCACACCATACAGTGATGTAGCGTGTCACTATGTTGCCATAGGGCAACATGTAGACATGATCTTACAGATAGGAGTGGAGGCAGCAAATGCTTCCTTTTATATTGCTGAGTATGATAGGAGTTAGGCATTTTTCCTGCTGATCCAGCATCAAACTAGTACTTCAGAACATTGGTCTGGGGCATGGTACTGTTGGAAGGCACTCTGTTCCAAAGTACAAAGATAACATCCTGACTGTTCCTAAAGGTACTTTGGCACTTTTCACAAGAGTAGGATAACTAAAATAAACAATCCAATTGTATATATGAAAAAATCCAAAACAGACCAAATCAAAATAATTTTGTCGTAAGAGGGGTAAGAAAAGCTTTAAATATATAAGGTATTCAGATATCACAGGACTAAGCGCAGTATGAAATGAAAACTAGCTGGGTAAGACTGTCAGTCCTACCATCTTTGCTATGGCTGTTTTAGGATAGAAGTTACTCTATAAAACTGAAGAATTATAATATGAAGTGTTAGGCTTAGATTCTTATATCCAAGCACAAAGCAACGTAGCTGAGGGGCCCTGTACACACGCAGGTAAAGGTGTGATGGGCTCTAATATATGATGCATACAGTCATGCCTCCTCCCATGCCACACATGCATGGCAGGAGGCATGATGGTAGGATTGTGTGTTAGATCCCATTTTGCCTCATCACTGGTGCAGGGGGAGCCTGATTCTGGTAGCTTAGCAGGGTCCTAGTTGGAGGGGAGGCCCTGCTACATGTGCAAATTAAACTTTGATAGCAATACTAGCTATAAAAGTAGTATACATTTCTGAGGTTCAAAACCTTATAGTTGGTTCAAACTTTTAATGGCATGATAGCTACTTTGCACCGGTAGCTGGTCTCAAAGTAATTGCACAATTAACATGTAGAGTTACCAGTTAATTGTGCAATACTTGTAACTTGTAGAGGAAGCCTAATTATACAGTATTTGACCTAAGTTGTTAAACCTTATGAGCAAAATGCTATAAACAGTAGCTATCAAAGTAACAGAGAATGCCATGGTAATTTTCTAATAGCAAGGGTTTTTTTTATGATTCTGTCACTTAGCTAGAAAGAGAATAGTTGAAGATATTGAGATTTGATTGTTGACACTGAAAATGAAGTAGTTTAGCTTGGTCCTTTACCACAGTTTTATAAGATTCCTTTGGTTGTGAAGATATAAGATTTCTTTGGTTGTGAAGGGTTTTTTTGTATGCAAAATTTTTTGTCTGAAATGTAATATGTATCATTAAACTGAGGAGACATCATTTTATACTTGTAAAAGAGTAACACCAATCTAGCATCTGTTGATAGGTTTTAAATGAAATCTGTATGTGACTAAAGCCAAAATAATTGGCTCTTACATACAGGAGTCATGGGGTTGAGAAGATAAAGTCTATTCATAGTTAAATCCTAGGGCATGTGTAGACAAAATGGGAGCCCTAAATTGAAGTGGTGGGTTTTAAAAAACACCACTTCAGTTCAAGGCTGATTAAACCCCATGTCGTGCACACACCCTGCTGACTTACCTGCCTCTCTGGCGGAGGGGGAGAGTGAGCTGCTGGCAGGTGGAGTGATTCCTGGCCTGCAGGGAGGGTGGGGCTGGTGCTTCCCTCCACACCAACGGCAGCACCCCCCAGGCGGCACCTACCCACAGGCACCTGGCTTGGGCTGTCCTGGGGGGCACCGCAGCCACAGAGGGAAACACTGGGCCCCCCGTGAAGCTCAGGCAGGCTCCAGGGAAGGGGGGGAAGGATCAGGCTTGTTGCTTTTCTTGGGCAGAGCCTGCTTTCCTGGGATGCTGCCAAACTGCCTGCAGAGCATCCTACACAACCGCAGAGCTGCATGGAGCCCGGTGCTTCACTCCGCGGCTGTAGGGGCAGCAAATTCCTTGAAGGGGTTTTAGTTCACTGTGCCCCAAGGTGCATTACGGTACCGAATTTCTTACAGTGACTGGAATTAATGCGCAATACACTGCTGAGGCATGCAAACACCAACACAATTTAAGCGGTGCAAAAACATTTAGCCCGCTTTAAAGTGTCATGCACACATGCCTCTCATTTTGTCTATACACGGCCCTAGACACCAAGGAGAAGCACAGTTGCTGCTTCTCCAAACCTACAGCCCCTTCATGCCACATGCAAAGCATATTGGAACTATTGAGTATTGGAGCAGTATCCCAGATCTTTTTTTTTCTCCCTTTGCCCATTTGCTGCCTATCTCAAGTATGGCCCATGAAGCTAGCTTATTTGTGGTTAAAGCAGTGACTCCTTTAAGATATACTGGTGTACCCCAGCCTGCAGAACCATGCTGCCCATAACCGCACAGCATAACCCCACTTGATTTTAACCACAGGAGAGGAAGTATGTCCATATACCCCTCTTGGGTTATTGTTTTCCTTGACCTCATCCTTCTGTGAATATTGTTTTACTATAAAGTTTAATGTGAAATGTGCATGTATAATATGGCATCAACCATAGTGGACCTTATGGGAGGCTGTTACTAGCAACAATCCTGCTGGAAATCAATTTACTAGTGAAAGCAGAATGGTTTTCTGACCTCTCTTTAGACTAGACATAGTTTCACACAGCCCTCTAAGTAGTGTTATATAGAATGAGTTATTGTGGTCATTCTGAACCCTCTGACTGTGATACAGGTGTGCATCTGAGAACATGCTATTTCACGTAATATTTTAAAAAAAAACTTTTTATTATAATTAATATTAAATACTATTGCTTTTTATTATAATTAATGCATTCTCAGTAGTCAAGATAATCCAAGAATACAAGCTTTTACTAAGAAAAGCTAGGTTGATAATTGCATATTTCTTATTATGACACCTAATATATATTTTATTTGTTATCATGTAAGTATTGTTTATTCTTAAGTTTTGTTGCCTGCTAATGAAGAAATCATTATGCTACTAAACAGGTTTTGACCTTCATTCTCCTGAAATTTTAAATTAAAGGTATCAGGTACCTACTCCTAAACAAACATAGATGCTGTATTGTATTGTATTAGAAATTGTCTCTTGTTTGTTTCAGCTTTGATCTGAAACCACATTTTTCTTTTGCTTTTAGTAGCTAAGGATGTCAACATTTTTTTTGATGAGTTAGAAGGAGTAAACAGCCCTTCCAAAGATGATGACTCTCTGCTCCACCATGGTAATTTGACCAGTACTTCTGATGATGCCAGCAGATTGGAAGCAGCAGGAGAGGTAAGAGCCCGCAAACCAAGCCATATAAGAAATAAATGTAATTGGGTTGGAAGTTTCATTCGCTGCAGTTCTGTTCTTATCTAAACCTTTGGTGTTGGGAATACTTAAAACTGACAACTGCTCTAAAATTATAAAACTGAAATATCATGAAATATTTTGGTTTTGAAAGTGGCTTTATTTCATCTGGTCATTCATTAGTCAATGACTTGTGACTTCCTCAAAAGCTGGAGGGTATGGTCCTTATAAACCATGCTTCCTGTGCTAAAGTAGTTCCCTGGAAAGAGTCCTTATGTGGTTTATGTATTAAGCTATAGTCTGTTCAGCTGAATGCTTTTGTTTCCAAGGGCCTCTGTACAGCATGTTTTTTAGCTCCCACTATCAATGCTATGTCCCAGAGTGAAGGAGCAGAACCAAGAGAAAAAGGTTTACTTACATCAGCCATAGGCTGCAGAAAGCCAGGGCTAGTGGGGCTTAGCCCCCCCAAACACAAGCAGCCTGGGTGCAGGCTCCAGGCGGCTGCAGCAGGGCAGGGGGAGGGGCACATACAGACACACACAACAGCCAGAGCCTGCAGGCAGCTGGGAACTCAGCCCAGCCCAGCCGGGTGTGGAGCAGTGCCCAGCAAGTAAATGTATGGACGGGAAGGGGTGCAAGGGAGGGAAGGGGTGTGCAGCGGGGGAGAGATCGAGGTCCCTGCAGGGAGGAGTGAATAGGGACCCAGGGAAGGTCATGGGATGCTTGGAGCCTGGGCAGCTTGTCCAGGGCCATGGGGTGGCTCTCGCCACCATGCTCGCCCCTGCAGCTGACACAGGGGGCATGTTGCCCTAGGTCTGTGTATGGGGTGGAGGCAGCTGCCGTTGTGGGCTGCACTCTACATCCCACTGCTGGTGCCCCAGGAGGGGCGCAACGCCACATGCCTCCTGCGCGCTGGCTGTGCCAGCTGCCTTAAAAGATGGACATGACTTGCAAAAAAGGCAAGCATCTACAACTTCCAGTGGGAGTTGCAGTTCACGGCATGTTTGGGAGGAAAGCTCCTTTTTCAAATCTGTTGTCAGTTAGCCTAAACTTCAGAATTTGAATTTGAAAAGTTGGGCTAAAATTTTTTTCTTCCTTGATTTCATTTTTGTGTGCTTTTGTTCCTCAGGGAATGTGATCACTCTCTAGCTCTACTCTCTAAAAATATTCAGCTCCATAGAGAACAGAAGGGCTGTGCTAATTGTGGTGGGTGCCCTTTTCAAGGAATTAGTTTTTGTTTTGGAAAGCAAGTCACTTTGTGGAACACCATACACGGGGGAGTTGGATAAGTTTCTTGTTCTGGAAAAAAGGCTGAATTATTGGTATGTTTAGATGACTGACTTAAGCTACAGAATTCAGGCAGTACCTGATTTTTGTGTTTGCCTTGTAGTCAGACTCATTTATCCTTCTTCCTTGTCTCTCTCCTCAAAACTCCTCTCATCACTTTCATAGTTCTGCTTTTGCATTATGATAGGACAAGAGATTTCTGTGCAGCGTTTTTGATCACATAAGCCAAGGCCTCTATCAGATGCATGCTGGTGAGACATATATATGTGGGACATAAAGGGGTTAAAATAAAAGGGGAACTTGAGAAGAGCAAGGTAAAAGGGACAGGACTGAAATGTACTGCTGTTAATTTAACAAAAGCTGCCAATCTTTCTTCCCCGTTAATAATACCCTTGTGCAAGATCTGTGTGTTCTACAAAGGGGAAGTGTGAATGAAAGGGGGAATCTATTAATTTATTTTCCCCTTTAAGCAAGCATACACCCCGATAGCGATAGCTGAGGAGGAGGGCAATGCCAGTCAATAAATATATATTTATTGATGTATATTAATGATATGTGTACATGTGAGAAAGAAAGAGAAAGTGTTAGAGAATAGGAAGAATATTCCTGGAAAATGCAAGACACCTGCTTCCTTCTGAAGAAAAAAAAGGTATGCTATTCAGAAGAGTTTGTGAGAATCCCAGGAATAAAGCATGTGATGGTTTAATATGATTTAAGAGTATTCAGAGATGGTATGAGCTCCCACACAGAGAAAACTTACCCCTTCCTACTTTCATTTTGATCCTGGATTTTTAGTATGGCACTGGGAAGTGCTTAAGTTCACAGGACATCTTCTCTCTTGAATACATTCATATGTAGCTCAGTCCTAAAGTTAATATTCTAGTGATATAATTTAGGTGTTTTTTCACTGAGTTTCTTACTGTGTAGTTACCTGTAAAATCAACTCATCACAGTTAACAGGCATCCTTATGGTTTCTTACAACATTTTGTGCGTTGATGAGTAAAAAGATTCTTTCCCCTATGTGCCAAGTTCTGCACATGCTGTACCTTTAGGATCTCAATGTAAAACTGTGCTCTTCCTGGTTCTGACATTACTGTCTTCCATACAGATTCTACAGATGGAGCTGTGTCAACATTTCTTTTACTGATGCACAAGTCAAAAGAGCATCCAGCTCACCCTTCTAGTCTGGAAGCTAGAAAACTCTTTTCTTGTTCCATAAAATTCAGCTATCTAAATTGTTTCACTTCTCTAACCTGCATTGCTCAAAAATGGGTTTTTAAGCACACCAATACCATAACAGGATGTGCTCATTCAAATCTAAGGCCAGGGCCATACCATCACCTGTACTGAATACCTGGACTTACTCTAGTAGCTGAAAGATTGGGGGAGAGAGCTGGGCTCCATTCCTCATAACAACATCCATTGGACCCAGCACATGGCAGCACACCATCTTTCTCCCTCAACTCTAATGGTGGCTGCTCCACAGGGCCCTAGCCATGGGCACATTTATCTATCTCTTAGACCTGCCCTTTCTGTGAAGAAGAGGTGGAGGGGACTCTGCCATGCCTTCATGGACTGCCCCAGCTTCAGCCACTCTTTCTTACCCTCAGCACCCTCTTTGGTTTGCTGGACTTGGATCTCTCCCAGACTGTGTACATATTCTTTATTCCTTACCAAGTGACTGAAGGGAGTGTAATATGCCTAGCTGGTTTCCTGCTGGGCCAGGTCAAGAGTGCAACCCTGAAAAGTCATAGAAACCAGGTCACAGAGGGGGTGCCGACAGTGCCCAGGAACTCTTGGTTTTTGGTGCGGGTGTGCATCACGTTTTAGTTTGGATGCTTCACCTTGCAAGAAAAATGTAAACCAGTTTGTGTCACACTGGGCTAGCAAGAATCCACTCTGCAAGGTGGAAGCTAGGTAATTAATCCTAAATGTGTAACTCCATGAAGAGGATGGCATGGAGGGGGTTTCAGTCTCTGATGATATGGAGTTTTTGATGCCAAAAAGTGTTTCTTGTTTGGCCCCTGGGAGGATTACATTTTTTCATTTTCACCTTTTTGTTTTTAATATTTTTGTAATAAAAATTTTAAAAGTTCACAAAAACCTCTCTCTCTCTCTCCACATGGGTTAGGAGCTCTCCAACTTCTGGGGAGATGAGAAAGAGAGCTGAGTCAAACTGAGCCCAGACCCCCATGATCCTTGCCAGAATCCTCATCTGTGTCATCTGCCCATTCTCCTCTTTAGGGCAAAAGTTTCTTTTGTGGTACCAGCTACTGTAGCTAGTCTGTTAGTTCAAATAAGAGATGTCTGTATTGCAATACCACACCTTATAATGTAATATATGAAGGAAGAGGGCCATTGCTGTAATACAGTTAGTTCTTACCAATTTCTTTTAAAATGGAAAATGCATGAACATTATTCTAAAATGAAATTATTATTTTGCAAAACGAAGCTGCAAAAAAAGAAGTTATGGAGTGTCAGAAATTGTTTTCTGTGCAATCTCAGTTCAGCTCCCTTATATATATATCATCACTAATAATCAATAATAATATAGGCTTTTTCCATATGACTGCTGAGCCATGCAATGCACAGGAATACAATGAGGTTTCACAGATAACCATATATTTGGCATTTCCTAACTTTTGAGTACTTGATTTTGCAACCTAAATATTTTATTTTAAATAGAGAAAAACCTTGTGCAATTATAATGCATATTACAGTAACACACACTAGCCCAGTGGTGGGCAATTATTTTGGCTGAAGGGCCACTTATGGAGTTTTGGTGAGCTGTTGCAGGTTGGGTTAGCACCAGCACCCCATCGCACTCAGTTGGCACCACACCCCACCCAGTGCAACAGCTCACCAAAAACCCTTAATGCTCCACATTCAGCTGGGAGGATGGGATGGG